CGTTCTTTAGTTTGCTAAAGCATTTTTATTTTATCCTCTCTCTTGTTCAATTGTTTTCGTCCATGAACCGCAGCTTCCAGTTGATCACAACTTTCTCAAGCTCTTTCTGTAAACTTGATCGATGCTAGCAACATGACCCAGTCGATCTCACTATTCGATTGATCCTGGAAACCTAGACAGATCCCTCCGCTGAGCCTCCTACTCAGTGTTTTGCTGTTATCACGATGTTAGCAAGATGTTTGTCCTCAGAACTTTGAGCTTGACTTACGCATCTATAAGACGCAGTGTATTCCCATGAATCACCATCAGGGTTGAATACAAGTAACTCTCTTGTGTCAAGACACTCCCCATTCTCCCTCTGGATGCCGTGGTCTCTGCAGCCGGTGTATGTATAGAACTTGCAATTGGAGTTTTCCTTCGTCCAGACTGATGTAGCCTTGAACATTCCGGAGCAGCCCTTGTTCTCGACACCGCCGCGGATATAATGGTCGCAGCTTACGCCGGCCATGCTTGAACTGAAGGTGTAGCAGTCGCCTTGATTGCCTTCAAGGATTTGATACTCTGTGTCTTCATTCACGTCGCAATTATCGACGTTGTTATAGAAGGTTACTGAAATATTAGCGGGAGCCGAGTATAAAAGGATGGAGAGGACCTACGGGCCCCAGGCTGAAACCTTGGAGACAGCAGCAAGAATGGTAAGCGAAGTGGCGATGGCGAATTGCATTTTAAAGGGGCGGAAGCGAGACTTCGTAGTAGGAGATATTGAAATTGATTCGAAAGTTCTGTGGACTGTGAATAGATCAAGTCTTGATGGGCTCCAAGATTATATATTCTTCAAATACTCCATATCGTTACTTCAAGCAACTCACACCACACAAACGTCATATTACGTTGATACTCGCTCCACCAAGCCGAACATCTCGTGCCGAATTTTCGCATCGAATGCACGAACAGGTTCATCATCTCCAGCTTGGAGAGCATGTTGGCCAAAGCGTGATCCTTCATCCTTGGGCCATTGTAGTTCCACATTCAGGATCTCGGGTTTGCACGAAAGAGGAGAGGCACGACTCATAAAGCTGATAATCCAGTCATCAACCGGCGAACTTGTCACTTGACAATATTCAAGGCTGGGTCAGTGAGTCAATTTGAGTGGGAGACCAAATATGAGCCTGCCAGTCGTGGCATCACGGAAAAGGATGCCCATAGACAAATACCTTGAGTCTGTACCCCAGAATTCGCAATTGTCAAATAAAAAATGAGGAGTCCGAGAGGCAGAGTCGGCAGCCAATTGTTTCATCACGTAATTGCCGGATCGCAAGGATCGCAGTGCTGCCAGGCATAAGATTTTAGTGCATCCGTTCATCGCTGAGGCAATGAGACTGCAAGAGCGGCCCATCAACGTGAATAACCTCAGTCTAAAATGAAGATCATTATATAATTTCCTGAAACATACTTGCTCAGCCTCGAAGGCTGTGGTCTTGGCGGTAATCAGCACTTGCAACCTCGTCAAGATCCACAAACACAGAATCCCGCTCAGTGGTCAAGCGATCAGCGGAACTCAAACGACGATATTTTTAAAAAAAAAAAAAAAACCATATTGAGATCCCGTGGATTGGGCCACACCTGGTTAGCATTGACTGTAACTGCTCACTCAGGAGGTCAAGCAAACTTGAATGGGTGATGCACGCCTCACGCTGATAAACCGCGAAATATGTCGGGTCAGCATTCTAGCCGTGTGTCGATCTTATCCAGTAAAAAGGACGATCTCGCTCAAGTTTACCGGATCGTATGTTCTTCAACGCCGACGCGATGAAGACATTTTTATCGCGAACACATTCTCGCCAGTTGTTCTCGGCCGCGATCGAGCGCGTCATCAGTAAGCCCGTTCCCTCAACCGCAAAGTGGGTACCCAGAATATCGACCACGCGATGTAGGCCCATGTCGACAGCAGTAGGACAGGTTATCGACCTACCCGACGGCAGGCGTCTCGGCTATCATGAGTTTGGTGATCCTACAGGAACTCCAGTACTTTATATCCATGGAACACCAGATTCGGGAGTTACGCTCTCTGGGTTCGAAGATCCTCTCGCGAGGCGGTTGGGCGTCCGCTGGATTGCCCCAGATCGTCCGGGGATTGGGAATTCCACATTATATCCTCACCGTGGAGTCTTGGACTATCCAGCCGATCTGAGAGCTTTGATTCAGCATCTCGGACTTCACAACTATCGCATCATCGGAACTAGTGGAGGTACTGGCTATACCCTTGCATGCGCACAAGCATTGCCTAGAGAGGAGCTACTGGCGGTAGGCATCTGCGCTGGCGTCGGGCCCTGGAAAGCTGGTCACGCTGGTCAAAGTGAGCTCATTCGGAAACTCATACTGGTATGGAAAGACCAGAACGAAGAGTTCGTAAAGTACATGGAGGGCATCTTTCTCGCTGCGGCACAAGATCCCGACCCGACCAAAATGGAAGTAGTCTGGAGAGAACAGATCAAGGGTTTTAAAACAGAAGATCGAGAAGTTCTGGAGAAACCAAGCGCTTTCCAGTCCGCTGTGAGGGTTTTTAGACAAGTCTATGTCCAAGGAGGGGCGGGCCATGGTCTAGAGATGAAGCTCAATACTGAACCCTGGGGTTTTAATGTGGATGACATCGACTATGAGGGCATCATACTGTGGTATGGGTCTATAGACGAGAATACTTCACCAGAAATGGGACTATACATGGCAGAGAGGCTACCAAAGGCGGTCTACAAGGAGTATCCGGGGGAAACGCACTATAGTATCTGGAGAGAAGAGCTGTTGACGGAATTTCTCAAGGACCTGCTAGGTTGAAAGAACAAACACATTCCTGATGAGCTTTTTCTGATAGCGGTGTGTCACAGCAATCATATGTTTTTAGTAGATACAAGTCATCAAAGGACGCGAAATTGGAACAAAAACAAGGCATGGATGTCATGTAAACAACTCTGGCCTGTTGCTCCAAGGCTCGTAGTGGAGGTCACAAACCAGCAATGCCGAGTGCGGAGGATGTTAAGATAGGGCGCGATAAGATAAGATAATGATGATTAGAGAAATGACGTAGACTACTACGTACCAACTAAGCAAGACCAAAACATTGCGCTACCCTAGAAATGCAATTTGGCCTATACTCTGGCTTAACGATTTAACAGGAACCCCTGAGGGATGTACCTAATGATAAAAATGATTTAGGTGCCAATAACGCCTTGCTTAGCTCGAAAAAATTAAGTGCGCTTTGATAAGCTAAGTTGCTAAGTGACAGTTCTGTTTGTTAAGTTTTCCAACCCGTATGCTATACGCAAAGTTGTCCAACCTGTCTTTGATGTTCAGCAAACAAGTCAGCTAAAAATAGCTCAGCCGATAAAACGCGATGGAGACGCGACGCGAGCGTGACAAGAGATAGCACACGTGTCAAGATTGCCTTACCCAACTTCTCCCCGCATTATGATCGTAGTGCTCCAAGACTCACACCTTACACTGTGCCTGTGGCTTGAGCAAGCAAAATCAACAAAGCACAGCACTTCACAAAATGAGGCATTTAGCCGAAGCGTCACATTGCCATTCATGCTGCTTGACTACAGTCAATAAGCAAGCAAGCACACGAACTCTGATTTCGACACAAGCTTGAGTTATCCCTTTGTCCTGCAATGAGGCTTCAGATTTGTGCAGTGTTTCATGAATCTTATGCTGTATCCACCTTGCATCATGATGCATAAGTCTGCACACAATTATGCAATCTTCACAAACCGAAGTACAGCGTGACCTTTCATCCAATAAGAGCCACGCCCGGTTAGCTCAATCGGTAGAGCGTGAGACTCTTACGAGTACGCGATCTCAAGGTTGCGGGTTCGACCCCCGCATCGGGCTGTTCCTATATATATTCGATTGCGAGCGTTTGCGAGGCTTTCTTTTTTATTTGGTAATTGTCCATCATCACAGAGTGGTTACTTGCATTTATTTGACTCAGTGACAACTCGTGCATGCTGTCTTTTTGCGTTGTCATCCTGATGTCTTTGTCTCAAAGGACCTGTCCTACTGTTTGCTTGTTACTCTGAAGGCTGCTGCTAGGCACTTCACAGGACATTAGCAACCAGACGTGACACTGTTCTTCGTTTGTTTCTGTGTCCACAACCAGAAACTCCCTGCGTTTGCCCTACTGTCAATGAGATCAGTTTTTCAAAGCATGTTCAACACACAAAGACAAATAAAAGAACATGATTAGGCATCAGTTTGTGCATGGGGATGACATTCGTTTTGAACATAATCATAAATATATAATGATAAGAAGTGAACTTCTCCCCATCATCTCATGTGTCTTTTCTCGGTGTAATGCGGCGTTCTTGAGATTCAGAGGCCTTGGTATGTGGTTGGCTGGAGTTCCAATCCATGAAACTTGACCTGGCTGAATGTGTTCATATTAAGCGAAGTGTTTCGCGCCGTGTTTAGCTTTCGCCAATAGATGTGCATCTTGCACCCTTGCTAATCCCATTCAAGCAAGCCATTACTTGAGTATGGCGACGTGCCGCCTGCAACTAATAGATCTAGAACAACTACAGTCCGATTTATTGAATGCAAAGATACACAGCTGCAGTGATACATGCCTCCGATAAGGTCGAGGCCCAGAGAGACAGAACAGAACTAAGTACACTCAGATTGAGAAGCCATAGCTTGACAAATAGAAGTCCATATCAGTCTACCAGTGAACAAAGGGAGCTGAAGCTGAATCAATGGGTTGTAGGTTGGAGATTGAGCTGAGACATGCATGCTGCCATCTGGGGAAACCAGAGTATGCAATCTTCATGTAAGTCTCAGAGAGCCCGGTATAATTGTACGAATACAGCAACAAGACCTACTCCAAAAGGCTGGGGATTGAGGCCAGGTTACCATAAGGATGTACGAAGTCATCGAGAAAGTGGTCACCTTGACGCGGTTCGAGAATCCTGAGCCAGAATGAGGATCTCGGCTTCCAACGCATTCGGACGGCTTCCGTAGCTCAGTTGGTTAGAGCGTCGTACTAATACTTCAATCCCGAGTATCTGGTAATGCGAAGGTCTCAGGTTCAAGCCCTGGCGGGAGCAATCCCATCGCCTTCCGAATGTTCTTTTTGCTGTTTCTGTAACCATCGCGATATGCTTTCGTCGGCGGACTCGCTGTGGTGTTGGTGTTGAGGCTTCGGCGCCTGCTTTGCCTCGGACCTGCCAGTTCTTCAGGCGCTGAGAAAATAGGTGTGAGTGATAAGATAAAGAAATGGGTCTTCGTAGCTGAAATCTGATTGGCCGCATCGCTGACCTCAGTGAGTACGGCCTCGAAGAATTGCTTCAGTCTAGACCACATTTTCCATAAGTTTAGGATGAGACTTGATGACTTTATGATGAGAATTACCTAAGAAAAGTCTTGCTCATTGGGATGTAGTGATTAATTGAGTATCTAGCTACACAGAGAACATGAGCAACAGTCTATAGCTCAAACACTTCCTCCTGTACAAAGAAAAGCCCTTCTCCGTCAGAAACACCAAATGCAGCCGCTCTACCCTGCTTGAGAAGTTGTCTTGGCCCGCATAAGTTCACGGCTGCATCCATACCAGGACGCTTAGACTTGAGCTGCCCGAACCACTGCTTTAGATCTGGCCGCCCCGAATGGATAGACCAAGGTTGCGGAGAGCTCATGCCCTGCATTTCGTGAGACGGTTCGCTCATGTGAACCTCACGGTGTATTCCACCAGTAACAAATATCGATATTTCTAGCGTTGCTGACGAATCCGGCTTTGCACATGCCTTGACAAGTTCAGTAAGTTCATCTGCGAACCACTGGATATGCTGAGCATCTCTGACGACCCAGAGAAGATGAATGTGAGACGCAGAATGACTGCCTACATCAATACCCATTTGTCTGATGATATGAGAAGCAATGCTGATACCTGGCGTAATTCCGATGCCACCGGCGACGAGAACAGTCACTGGCAGCAAGCCCCAGGATACCGACCCAACACCGTATGGGCCATCAAGACGCATCTTGAGCGGATGAGCCATCATGCTGTTCGAGTCCAAGGAAGCGCATCCGTGCTGATTCACATCACAGCTGCAGTCAGCATACTGTACAGCCTTAGTGAAGCCCCCAAGACCTCGGACGGCGATTGTCGCAGTCTTCTCAGGATCATCCGGTGCACTGGCGACAGTGAATGGATGCCAGTTCACAAAGGAAACCATTGGGATTTGAAGCCAGACAACTTGTCCAGGAGTGTGAGTCTTCAAACCCTTGACCTTGAACTTTGTTACGTTACCTTCAAATGCCTCAACACTCTGCACTTGGATGGTGCGGAAATTGTACGCAAATCGGATCGCTCGATCAATTCCCCAGAGCAAAAGCCCCGGAAGCATGAATTCCGGCCCATGCGAGGCATGGATCAAAGTCCCGATGATGAAAATGAAGAACAGAGCGTGAGTGTAGTAGAAGACTTCGAAGAAACGGCGCCGCACAATTGGTAGGGCCGTAAGGAAGATAATGACTAGAGCGATCCAGGCCATCAAGCCCACCTGGATTCGATGGTTTCCGAAGCTGGTGGTGACCTGTTTTGTCTCGATGTAATGCTGGATATTGAACGAAACATGGGCTGTTGCCTGAGCAACTGTTGCAAAGCCGATCCAGCGATGGTACTGAAGGAGGACGGAGCTGGGAATACGCAGAAGGGACGCGAACAGATTGTTTCGGGATGCCATCAGTAGTGCGAGACCGGCATTGGCAATTGCTAGCCAGCCGTATACGGTGTAATCGGCCGTGAAGTCGTTGGATTGCACGCTGAAGACCAAATTAAGTGCGAGAAAAGCTGTGAAGCGAGCAGCATCGGTGACGTGCCAGTCTAAGTACGGAAGAGAAAGCGGGAAGCTGTGTAGTTTGTGAAACCAGATGCTTGCACTCCAATGCAAAACGTTGCGGTCTTGCCGCCGGTCTCGGTAAATTAGCAGAGGCCAAGCAATGAGCAAGGGACCTCTTACACTTGTTGTATCTTTGGAAGGCGTAGATACTGAAAGGAATGAGTGATTCCAAGAATATTAAGCCAACAACGCTGCCAAAGTAAACTCTTGCAGCAGTATAGCGATCGATAATCACGGGATCAGTCATTTTCTGATGGTAAGAATGCTCAAAAGCGTAAGTCAAGGGGAATGATTGATGGTTCAATACTGCACTTGAATATGGAGAAGATAAATTCTAAATACTTGCCAGACAAGCCAATATTGTCAAAAGTATGGCAGTGCAAAGGTGCTATTTCAACTGATGATTGATCAAACTTACCGTTCAAATCCTGTGGCTGACTGGATTCCAAAAAATAAATGCTAGAACTGGGGCTGAGACATTCACATTTCAGCACGGTAAATGAGCAAACATTGCTGATTGATCAAATGTTCTGATGCTATCCCTGACGTGGCGTCGAGGCTATGCTTGGAGGTGCGGGCGCTGGCTGGGTTGACCACCATCGCTAATCAGAATTTCCTATTTGGGCAATGCGGATGAAAACAAGCTTAATTTTACGGTAAAATTAGGCAAAGCCCTGCTGTGAAACATTTAACCTCAGGTGCCAAGGCTGATAATCGTTTCTGGGGTGTACCTGCTGTATCATCTGAATTACCTCTTATGGAATCGAGTTGAAGAAGTGCAGCAGTATAAGAAGATTCAGACAGGCTGACGAACCCTGCTTCATCAGCAATCAAACTCAGATTACAATTTACTTCTGTCTACTACAATTTGCCTGCCAAGTCAACATTTACCTCAATCCTCAATTCTATCCACTTCTTTACACAATGGCTCTCAAGCTCGCCGCTCTTCTCTTTGCCTCCGCTGCCATGGCCGCAAAGATGGGCGACTCTGGTGCCTTATCCTCACTAGACGCTGGCCTCGGCGGAACCGTCGAAGTTGTCAGCAACACTGAACTCAAGATCACCGGCTACGAACTCAAAGATGCATCTGCACCTGCTCTCTACTGGTGGGGATCCAAGACTGAAGACCTCTCATCAGGCTTCCGTATCAACAAAGAACGCATCAGCGATACCTCTTCGAAGATGGACATCATGGTCAAGCTTGATGCTGGCCATACTGCGAAAGACTTCTCTTACGTTGGCCTTTGGTGCGAGAAGTTTGCTGCCAACTTTGGCCAGGCAAAATTGACATCTGATGGCGGCTCTATGAATTCGACCGATGAGATGGATACGAAGAAGGATGAAATGAACGGCGCATCGGGATGTCCCACTGGTCAACCTGCCACGGCTGTGGCTATCTTGAGTCTCCTTGCTTTCTCCGCCTATTTTGCATGATGACTTGTTGGAGCTTGGGAATTGGTGATGATAACGGGCATACAACACATAGCATGTAATTATTTCACTTTATTAGCGTTAGTATCATCAATTATTGTATTAAATCATTTAAAGGTGCCTCTAATTGCACAAGCTCGAGCGAACGCCCTTCCCCGATATTAATTGTGATATTTGCGCCCATCAACAGAAGCGCCGGGGCCTCTCGCTGGTTGAGGTGACTACAGGTACTAAGCGCTGTAGACCATCGTTATCAACAAGAAGGCATTAGTTGTCACAGGAGTCTGGACTGCACACGGTTGTGTTTGAAGCCAATTTCTGTTTCATCAAGAAGGCAATTGTCAGTCTCAAACTCGTCATGATCCACTGAACATTTGCCAAATACGATTTTTCGTTCAGCTCATTGATCCTTCAGGCGCTGAAGATCCCCTGTACCGTTGAGCAGCTTACTCAATTAGGCAATCCTGATTATGAAACTCGAAACAAGCCATTAGAACAAGCCTCACTGTCAGCGCTAAGCTTTTCAGCCGTGCGGGAGCCAAGGTCAACAGCTTTACTGCATTCAGTAATTCTGATTATCTGGCGGACAAGGCTTCAATTAAATATTGGCGAAAATGAATTCTTATTCGGTTTGAGCCCAGGCTGTGATCGACATTTGTCAACTTCATTCTGTTTATCTCAAAAGGCTGATGAAAATGGCGTCGCTCCGCCTCTCGACAGGGCTATGTAAGCTTTGACACCTCTCTCCGGGAAGAATTGACGAGAGCATTAATATTGGGGTCCGAAGTAATGGTGTATATAAGCGATTGACCTTGGCATCTGTTTTCTCAATCCATTAAACAACATCACTCTTATACTTCAACCCACTCCGATTGATCTAGATTCTTTCCAACATCTACCTCCAATATGAACAACATGGACGTAGCCCACCATACAGCGACGTATGACATGACTCCCAATATGACAAGCTTTGAACCAACGCCCAATATGTCGGCCTTCGACGCAGCGTCACATACAGAAAACATGGACGGTCGACACACACCTGACGATGAACACGAGCCTTGCATCAGGGCCAATGCAGGATCTGGAGGACATAACCTGTCACCCACTGATCCTGATAGCCCCATGAGTTGGTCAATTCTCAAGAAGGTCTACGTGTCGGCTTGTGCATTCTTGTTTGTGTTTGTCATGTAAGTTACCCACGCTGTAAAATGACGAAAGATACTAACTTAAGTAGCATGTACGGAACAACCACTTACACAGCAGCCATCGGCGCCATCCCAGAGGCATTTGGTGTCTCACAGCGCGTGGCTGTTCTCGGGTTCACAATGCCATTCTTTGGCGTCTTTTTCGCACCCATCTACACTCCGCATCTCTCTGAGCGGTACGGCCGACGACCGATCTACTTCACTAGCTTCCCGCTTTTCTGCCTCTGTGTGATCGTGATCGGTCTTGCGACCAACATTTCGACACTGTTGGCTTTCCGCTTCCTGGCTGGACTTTTTGGTGGTCCCTGCGTTGTCTTGATCGAAGGCACTTTCGCTGATGTCTGGCCTGCCAACAAGACGGTGACATATTATTCTTTCTTGACTCTTGCTTCTTATCTTGGAGCTGCTGCCGGTATGTTCTGAGTTTTCTCTTGAGTCTAGACAGAAAACTGACATTTGTGACTGCAGGCCCTATTATCGGCGGCTTTGTCTTCGCAGCCAAAGGGCCCGCCTGGCTCTCATGGGTTGCCCTCATCTTCGCCACCGCAGCCCTTGCATTTGGCTCCT